GGGAAACACTGTTGAATATTCAAAGGATTAATGCAGTCATCATTTTCGTGTTTTTATTTAATTTTATAGTTTGTATTTTGTTGTATTTACACTCCAAATTGTTCCATAACTGTGCTTTTCCAGTCATTGTGCATTTTACATGAAATAATAAAAATGTATTCACATTTGCAATATTTTCCAGTATTTGGGAAAAAAGTAGTAATGCCAATACCAGCATTTTTACTAGTATTCATACTCATACAAAATGCCTCATACCTTACTCCATTAAGTGTTACAGTTGACATTTGAAGTAAAAACTTTCAGTTCCATATTTAAGAAAGTTAAAATAAAATATTATTTGCTATTTTTATTTATTTTAAAATGTTGCAGCAGTATATCATGCTGTGTATTTGAATATTTGGGGGCTGAAGGACTATAATGAAGGAGAGACATCTTGTTCTAAATAAAATAAATGTCTTACATGGCATCGGCAAGTACCCAAACTGATGTACTCGGATAAAAAACTGGTATTGGGACTCCCTTATTGATAGGTATTTTTCCACAAAGGTAAAATTTTATAACAAGTGTTTGTTTGTTTGGTTTTGTAGGGGATGAAGAGCTGTCCGGGCCCTCATGGGCAGCAGAAGATGATGATGATCCAGAAAATAGGTACGGTTCAAAAAGCCCGGATATTAAGTTTGTAAAACACCCTAGCTGCAAAAGAGAGGATGCAACTTCCGATCATAATTTTTGCCCAAATTCTGGCAACCCCCAAGTCATTAGAGCTCAGCTTCGGCCTATCAATGAAAGACCTAGACGTAGCTGCAGAGCCCAAAATATCAAATACACGTTCTAGAGAGACTGTGAGACGTGTGGTCCTCACCGCAGTTTGATCAGACTGAGCAGTGCCTGAAGCAGCTTTGACTGATGAGCAAAGAACCCACTTTGTTTTGGTGTTTTTGAGCTCGTAAATATTTTAATCTGAAACCAGAGATGAATTTATCTTCTTATTACTTGATTCTCTTCTCTGTATGCTTGTGTAATACAAACCTATAAATCTTCTTCCCCTGGAGCATTAACTAACGACTGAAGGTTGTTTTTCCGTACAAACTGATTTGTTAATGCAGAACAGGTTTGTGTTCAGAGAAGGAGTTCTAACATCTGTAGAAAGTGTTTGGCTCTGTAACTTTACAGAATGCACATTTAACTTTTCATCTTTAAGCATAACTTAAAGGAAATAAAATGTTGTTTAAAGTGAAGTATAAAGTTTTAAAACTGGCTCCAAAATTATTAATAGATATTTACAGTACAAACCAAATACATTCTTTTATGCAATTCTGTTTCTATTTCATTTTCGTTTTTGTTGTTTCGATTTTACAAAAAGTAAAGCAAGGCTTATGGAGATGTGAGGTTTGATGAAAAGCTTTATGCTTCACCTTTTTGAATTCCCTGATGTGTTGTGATGTGACAACTCAATTTTGCTCTAGTTTTGAAAAGATGGCAAAATAATATGTTGAATAAATGAAAAATCAGATGCAATGTACATGGCTACCAAAATGCACTTTTGACTGATTTCTTTCAGCTTTTGATTTTTTTTTAGTCTTTTAGTAAGTTTTCCTCAAAGCATATTTATCCATTTTTTTGTCCGATGCATATAATTATAAAAATGATTCATAAATGTATTTTTACCATTCAGTCTAGTATTGACATCCTACTACGGTGTAGCGTGGAATATTCCTGATATGGAAAGGACTGTAATAAATGCTAAGATTTGTTAGAAAAAGGGAAAATTATTAAACAAACTGTATTTCTGAGCAGCAACTACACTCACCAAAAAATGACATCTGCAGCATTTTATATTTTCACACTTAAGGACTAAACAAAACAAAATCACCCAATTTAAATGCTAAGTGGTCAATAACTTGGCACAATGAATGTTATGACAGAATCGTATTTTAACCTTCCACAGTCTTCTTCCAAAACTAACCTCAAAGTCTCAAATTAGGTCTTCCAGTTGCTACAACTGGTCCCATTCTAGCAGATTGACTCACTGGATGTTTTGTTTGCATTGATTTAAATCAGAATGTGAACAATTAAGGATAGTAGCGATTTAATTAAAACAAGTTTCATAAAGTAAAAAAAAATCATGCACCTCCAGCCAAAACAAAAAAAAATAATTATTTTGTAAAACATCTATACCTGGAACACTTTAAAACCATGCAGCACTGCCGTTAAACTTTGCCTTAACTAGCGTTGCATGTGAACTATAAATACGACTGATCAAAGTGCAGTTATCGAATTTTAACTTGTACATTTAATTATATGTACCAGTCAGCCATATTTTTATGACCATGCACATAATTTTGTTTTATTCTTGATGTTGCCAAAGTATTAGTGATTAGTACAAAGACGTAAGCACAAGGTGCTTGTAGAAAAAAACTGCTATAAGGACTGTAAGTCTTAATGATGGAGCAGTTATGAAAATCTACATTTTTTCTTTTGCACYGCCAGGGAAATCTCGTGATTGTTCAACAGTCAGCTGACTGTCAGCTTGGCCATTTCACTGATGCTTGTGACGTTCAATCACAACAATGAAAGATTTCATAGTGTTGTGGATCTTATGTTTAATTTCTGAAGCTGAGTTTGCAAGAGTGCGATGAACAGTCATAAGAAGGGAGTTTCATAAACCAAGACTCGTAAAACTTATTTTGATTAAATGTTTGCAGCTAAATGTAGACTAAAAAAGAGCAGCTCATAACRTACAACAACAAAGTTAACTAGCTTCTACGATAGCGATACCTATGCAGTTTTACATAGAGTTCAGTTTTTTTCAGCCAATTAATATACACGTGTATGACTCATACATCCCTTTGAACTTCCTATCGAACAGAAAGCACCTTCTCTAAAACAAAAACTAATACAGCTCTGATAATCATATTTTTAAGGAACATACAGCGGCTGTAAAAAAAAGTGATTAACTACTTCAAATAGAAAGTCAGCCACTATAGAAAGCTAATAGGCTTGTCCACATTTACCATTAGAGAACATCTGAGTGGTACCTTAAAAGTTTGAAAGCCTGATAAACACATCTGACTGATTTGTTCTTTGTGCCATTCTTATGGAGTTGTTGAAAGACCCATTGCTTTTCTGCTTGGGAACAGTGCTACTTTAGGTAGTACTAAAGTATAAGAGGCGTGTTTTTTCTAGTTCGTTGTTGCAAACCAGTGTCTTAACCCTCTTAAAACATCTTTAGGCTGGGTCAGAGATACTTTTTTGTAATCCACCACATTTTTGTCTAAGCGTAGTCACTGAGCAGAGTTGGTAAGTGTGAAGCCTGCTGAGTTTTAAAGGGGACATATTCTGCAAAATCCTATTTTTTAGCCTTTAAATGCATTTAGTTGTGTGTTTTGAATTGTTACTTGCAAGAAAACTGCCAAATAAGGTCTGGACTTAGCAGCTACAATCTGGTGGTCTTCATTCTCCTCTGGCTCTGCGTCAGACTCTGGCTCCAACATGTAAGGCTGGATGGACTAGTCTTTTGTTGTTAAAATCTTTTAATTAATTTGTAAAGATTCTGCGCCGCTATATAGTCTTAAACCCTGCTCTCAAACTGGAAAGGACCGGTCTGGAAGCTTGGAGAGAGAAGCGGGGTGTGAAGCGCCTTGTTAAATTTAAAGAGACAGCTAAAAAACGAGTTGATCTGAGACAAATCAGAAAAGGGATGAAAGAGGGGCTTGTGGAGTTACAATAAGGAACAAAACATTGCATTTCCACTTTATATAGACCCCACCTGAACGATTTAAATGTGAAAAATATGGATTTAAAATTGTGAAATGTCTCCTTTAAGCTGGATTTTTAACCTGCGAGAAGTTTAGAAATCTGCTCTCTGACTTAACGGAGATCTTTTCCACAAAGACAAGCAAAATAAACCCCGTTGCTGATCTCCAAGAAACCACTCCCCCTTCAGGGTACCTTTGTGGAATGCCTACTGAAGCATAGTAACTCCGTGGTGTGGAAATCAGGGACTGGTCGTTAAAAAAAATTAACCACCAGAACTGCTGTCATTCTGCTGGTTCTGATGTGCTGGCATCATGCATATAAGCAAGACTTGGATGACCTGACTGGTTCATGWATGAACAACTGCAGCCTTAAAGAGGGGTTTGTCTTTGCAGCCATTTTGCATAACCAAGCTTCGGTTTCCACTATCYCTGTACGAAGGAGTTAGACATTTGTTTGATATTCAAAGCCARGTTCAGTGTAATATCTACTGTTACTCCAGTCTTTGCATAAGATACATAATTTGTAGGGGAAAAATCATATAAGAGAAAAACATAATACAGTTTAATGAAAATTTTTAGAATCTGCAAAGAAAATGTAAAAGATAAGAGCAGCTGTGAGGATTTAGTTTATTGTGTTCACCCTTTTTTTTACATTTACCAAATATTTTCTCACTTTATTTATTTAAGTTGTTTGGTCAAGTCTTGTTTTCTCAATTTTTATCAACATAGACTCATTCGACTCACCAGTGATTTCCATGTTTTGCTACATTTTCTATGCATAGTTTACATTACTGCTGACCATTAAAATACTAACTATTTCAGTGCTGTCAGATTAAGTTTAGATCTTCAGAAGTGGGTTCTGTGGAAAGGTTATAAACAATCAATGTCTTACCTGTGATAGATAGCTGTTTGGGCGACAGTGGTTTGCTAAAAGTTTAATTCTGACCAGATTGATGAGCTAACAACTAGTTCATGCAGGGACTCTCTGTCTTTTAAAAACTTAAAAGGTGACAGCAGCAGCTAGCTGTTGCACTTTCGGTGTACCTTAGACCACTTATTAGCTCATCGATCTGGTCAGAGTTCAAATCTGTTTCTCCAAACTCAGTTTGCACAAAGAGCTATCTAGAACAAGTATGATATTATTGGTTAATATCCTCTCCATATAACCCTACTTTAGAAAAGCTGAACTATCCCTTTAACGGCAGTGTTGTTTGAATGAGTCAGTGAGGGCTGTAAAGCACAACTTTTCAAATGCACGCAACCAAATTTAATTAATGCTTTTAACAACTTCCATGTTTGTTTTTCTCGTGTTTGTTTTTTTCAGGTGGAAATTTCTGACAGCACAACAGTGAAAGCAGGCTGGATATTAGTCTCTTGTCTTTCTTCTATTGTTTTTTGTCCTCTGTAGTCTGTTTCTAGCTGTAGTTAGTGCGACATCATGTGAAAGAAAAATGGTCAGCAGAAATGTAACGTTTACATTGTTATTAGTGAACTAAATAAAAAAAATCGACACTATGTAGTAACTTTGACAAGTTCGTGAGCATTAGTGTGTTACCTGTCAGTGTTTTCTCTTAGCGCGGTATTTTATTTAATATAAAAACAAACAAATCCAAACGTGAAAGTATTCTTTTACTGCTGCAATCACTGCACTGTAAAACATATTATTACAATAAACTCTAACTGGACTTGAATTTGAACCTTTATGTTCTCTGACCCACATTAATCGTTTTCATTTCAACATTCGTAAAACCTGTGCATGAATATGAAGCTAAGCTTGTGTCATGAAATACTGTTTGACTCTTAGAAATCAGGAATAATTGCTGGAGTGCTTCTTTGTATTTTTACGAACTGATCATGTTTGTGGTTCTGGACACTATGTTATTGAAAGCAAACCTTTTTATTATTTTTTTAACAGGTCATACCTATGGTGAAAATATGTTACCTATTATATAATTTTTGTTTTGCTGAAGTTGGAAAAAACTTGACTTCCCATCTAATTCAAAAAATATGGAAATGCAAACGTTTGTATTTCATTTTTTTTATTTTGTTTTAGTTCAGTGAGTTTGTTTCCTTTTGTTTATGAAGTCCAGAGGACCGCTGCTCTTTAAACCTGAGCAGCCAAAGTCCAAAAGATTTTCATGTGGAAAAAAAAAGTCAGCCACATAAAGAAAAAAGATATCCTGGAAGTGAGAACTACGTGTTTTCTTTGTTTTTCTTCTGTGAATTATACTTGTTTGTTTTAATAAATATTTACTTAAAAAAAGATCTTGGCCTCATTTTTATTATTGTATTGTTCTTTATTGTTGTATTATTGCTTTTACTTTGATAGTCTGTCCCTCAGAGCTGTGGTAGTATGCTATTAGAGCTTCGCATCAGCTAAACTATTAAATGATTGTGACTTGTTAGTTATATTAAAATATTAAGGTTTTCATTTTAGCCGCAAGTGGATTATTGGCACCTGGTCATCTTATTGAGTTTTGCCTTAAAATAATGAGTTAAAAATATCTTTCTAGTCATAAAATAAACTTGAGGTGCCTTTTCCTTCTCTTTTACTTCTAAAAGAATCGCTAAGAAAATGCTGTTGGCCCAAATTAAAGCCAACTTCTCCTCGGATGGTGACATTTCTTCGGATGATGAAACAAAGGAGGATGAGTCTGAGTCAGAAGTCGATGACGACAAACAAGGTGATGAAGATAATGAAACGAATCAAAACGGTAAGTATTTTCATATTTGTGCTTTCTTTTATGAGTTCCGCAAATGAAAACAGAAGATTTGATGCCCACTGAAGACTCTGACGGGCCTTTTTGTTGGTTTGAGTTATGAAAGAGGAGAGGTGATAGATTTTCTCTCTGCTGCAGGAGAGGAAATTGCTTCAGAATCATCAGATAGTGCGTCTGACGACCCCAAACTCAGACACCATCTTCTCCGCCACAAACTCACATTAGACAAGGAAACAACAGGCAACAAGGCAGAGCCTGAAAATGAAGCAGGACAGCAGAAAACTCAAAGAAAAGCAAAGAGGAAACAGCTGTTTTGTAAGCAAATGGATTTAAAAAAAGAACAAACTGAAGAGAAAACAATAAGTCTAATGTATGGTTTTATTTTCTTTCAAGCTGATTGTGAAAATAGTGCAAACAGTTGTGAAGATGGAATGAGCGAGGAGCTGAGCGAGTCAGAGGTTGAGACTGATGAATGTGAACTGCAGAGGTACACACTTCAGATAACAAAATGAATTCTGATCTTTACAACCGAAGTAAAAAAAAAGATAACACATTTTAGCGAGTACAATCTGATTTTTACATTTCAGTCTTTTAACTTTGTCAATTAAAACCTTAACACACTGACATTTTTCCACTGAATGTGATAAAAGCTTCAACCATACATTAAAACCAAGAGTCAGCCAAATAAAACGCTGACTCATGAAAACCTAATTGACGTGTAACATATCACAGCTGTGGTACCAGTACTAAATACTTCACGGTAAGGCCCCCCTTGAACGGTATATGTCGCTTTATCACCATTTTGTTTTATATATATATATTTTTTAGCCTTAATTCAGAAACAAATGAAGACGAAGCGACGTCTAGTCACAGAGAGAAGAATGAAGTGCAGTGCATTTGGCTGTCTGACACCAGCAGTGAGCAGGTAGGGTCTGATCATCGCACCTCTGATGCCTTTATTTTGAGGAAAACTGAGACGCACCTGTGTGTGCGTTTGTTGTTTGACTTCTTTTGATTTTGAGCAGAGTAACAAAGAGGATTCAAATGAGGGAGAAAACAGCCAAACCAAGGGMACCCCAAAAGGCCGCAAAAAGATCCGTAAAATTATGGAGGACGAGGACCTGCGTGCTGAGACCCAGGAAGCCCTCAAGGAGGAGGAGGAGAGACGCAAGCGTTTGGCTAGCAGAGACCAACAGATGGAGGACAGGAAAGAGGTACTGCAAACTGCGTTAACCTTCACTCTAATTAGGTGTTGATTTTGACAAAATCATGACTCGTGCTTATAGATTTTTTTATTTTGGTTTTGTGTTTTGGAGGTGCAACACTTTGATTAACATCATTATTTTGCAGGTAATAGGGGATGAGGAATCTCAGTCTTGTCTTGTCACGACCAAGCTGGTCCTGGATAAGGATGAGGAGACCAAGATGCCACTTGTTCAGGTGCACAGGAACCTGGTTACACAGCTGAAACCTCACCAGGTGGACGGTTAGTCTCTTATGAAGAGGACAATAATAATAATGGACATGGTATTTTATTGTTTGCACAGAACAAACTCTGAAATGTTAAATCATTTCCTGGTTCTCATTTGAATGTTTCTTGTTTACTTGCTGCATCTTATTTTAGCCGTGTTTTTCTGGTAAAATGCATGGAAGAACCCGGTGGGAAACGTGCAGACACTTTTCTGGTTATTGTCCAATAGGTGTCCAGTTCATCTGGGACAGCTGCTGTGAGTCTGTGAGGAAGGCCAACTCCTCTCCTGGATCTGGCTGCATTCTGGCACACTGCATGGGACTGGGAAAGACTCTGCAGGTGAACATTTGGAATTTACTTGTAGACTTTTTATTTTTGTCAAATAAAAACAAAAATGTGATGGTGAAATGAATCACAATTGAGATTTGTATTAAAAAAGCCAATAAAAGACATCTCAGCAATTAAAAAAAATAGTAATSTTCCTAATCTACATTTTAAGTTGAAGTTTTCTAACTGGTATGTCTCCAGAATTAATTAATTTCATTCTAATCTCTTTAATTTACTATGAAATTTACCATTTGTTCCCCTGCTGGCTGTTGTAGCACTGGGAAATCCCTTCGTATGTTTGTTGTCATTGTGAAGCTTAGGCATCCCACTTTTAAAAATATGTCTAGAATTTCTGATGACATCACACCTGACAAATATAAGTCAAGTTTTCAAACCAGCATCCTTGTAAATAATTTTTTTTTGTGATAAATCACCAAATAAAAAAAAACTGCATTATTTTGAAGCTGCTGAGGTGCAGAATTAGAAAATAATTTGTCACTTTAGACTCAGTATCTAACTCTAACTCTTACATTGTAACTCAGTACACATTTGTAGTTGCACAAAATCACAGTTTTTCAAAAATTTTGTTTTGTTGAAGTTTCATGCTTTTATGCCTTTTTTTAGGTGGTAGCATTTCTTCATACGGTGCTGCTCTCATCAAAGCTGAACTTCAAAACAGCCTTGGTCGTGTGTCCGCTTAATACCATCCTCAACTGGGTCAGTGAGTTCAAGAAATGGCAAGACAACATAGAAGATGATAAAGTCAAGGTGTGCTGTAAAAAAAATAAAAACAATGGGGCGTATTTGGTCTGTCAGGATGTTTTTAATTCGCAAAAATGTGTGTCAGGTTACCGAGGTGGCTACGTTAAAGACTCTCCCGGAGCGACTCAGCGCTCTGCGGAAGTGGCAGAGAAACGGAGGTGTGCTGATAATCGGGTACGACATGTACCGCATCCTGTCTCAAGGCCATAAAATCGAAAACGACGAGGAGAAGGAATTGTTAAAGAGCACATTAGTGGATCCAGGTTAAGAAATTTCAGAAAATCATGCACCCATCAAAATACTTCCTGTCTTGTTATTTCTTTGCTCATTTATTCATATAAATATATATACATATTTTATTTTAATTTTTTCAGGTCCGGACTTTGTGGTTTGTGACGAGGGGCACATCCTTCGCAATGAAGCCTCCAGGATCTCCAAAGCTATGAACACCATCAAGACCCAAAGAAGGGTGGTGCTAACGGGTACACCACTTCAAAACAACCTTGTTGAGTGTAGGTCTTCACCATCTCACACTAACACACAGAAGGTTACACTTAGTTATACTCGTTTCTCTTGTGTATTTGACCTGTATCTTTATAACATATTGAGTTACGTATCAGGTCGCTACAGATTTGTTGATCACGTCAAACGTTTTGCAGCATGAACGTAGCAACTTTAACCGAGGGCCACATGAGCATCATGTCATTTGTATCCATCTCATTCAGGCTGACATCAGTCGTGAATTGTTGTATTTTCCTGGCAAACATACCATCTAAACACAATGTTGTTCTTGCATATACACTCACCGGCCACTTTATTAGGTACACTTGTCCAACTGCTCGTTAACACTTAATTTCTAGTCAGCCAATCACATGGCGGCAACTCAGTGCAT